TAGAATAGAATAGAATAGAATAGAATAGAATAGAATAGAATAGAATAGAATAGAATTCTTTATTGGCCAAGTGTGATTGGACGCACAATTTGTCTTGGTGCAAATGCTCTCGGTGTACATATGTCTTTATCTATCCATGTTATCCATCCATCCATCCATTGACTATGTCTTTATCTATCCATATTATCCATCTATACATACATACTTGCATGTCCTTATCTATCCATGTTATCCGATCAACCAACCGTCCATCCATCTATCCACCCACCCTCCCATCCATCCATCCATCCATCGACGATTCTTTATCTATCCATGTTATCCATCCATCCATCCATCCATCCATCCATCCATCCATCCATCATGTCTTTATATCTATCCATGTTATCCATTTATACATCCATACATCATGTCCTTATCTATCCATGTTATCCAGCCATGTTACCCATCCATCCGTCCATCCATCTATGTAGCTGATCCACTGTCTAGTCACTAGATGGTCCTTTTCTGGATTCAGCTGATTTCTCTGTCTTCAAATAAGCTGGGTGACCATAAAAAGAATTACAAAAAAACACTCAAGACATGGAGAAGTTTGAATCTGAACATCTTGCAGTACTGATCATCGTTAGGTGGATAAAGTTTAGTGAAGTATGACTAAGAATCTGAACAAGTCGCAGACTGCACGATTAAACAAACAGAGAATATACATACATATATATAGTTATAGAGATGCGCAGTGGGAATTTCAATGGAAAAAGGGGGATGACATTTCTTTTGAACATTATATTCAGAGAAAATTGGCATAAGATGTTTTATCCTCCGCATATTTACTTTAGTCCTTTACTTCTAAAATGAAACTCTTTTTCTTCAACTTCTTGGAAATATAAGAAGCCGGTCGGATTTTATTTCATATGTGGTGGCAAATAGAATAAAGCTCAAAATATTGGAAAATGGAATGAATTTTGAAAGTGAAAATCCCAGGGAAATACCCCTCTAAAATATTTTTTATTACATTTTACCATGCTTTAAATCCCATCCAAATATACCGAATTGGCATTGTATATCTCAGCAGCTGCAAAGAATTATATGCCTTTTATTGGAAAAAAAAACCTTTTGATTCCTTCTAGGGAAGAACTAAATTGTGCCTCCAAGTCTTTTTTTTTTAAAAAAAAACTTTATTTTTAAAAAGTAAACCTGACACAGAATTTTTAATTTTAACTGAAAATCGTACTGATTGTAGACAGCAATCTTTTATCTAGAATTTGGGTTTCAGGGTTCACTTGTTAACTTCTTGTATAATTTATACGACTGGTGGTACGCATTATTTACTACTCATGCTATTCTTTCAATGATTGCAATAGTGTCAGCAAGTATTTCTTTAGTTTAAGGCTTAATGTGGATTTTGACTAGAAAATAGGTGTGAAATATCTCATACGCTTCTCAGGCTGTTTTAAATCTATTTGCTTCGTGGTTTTTCAAACTTGCAAGTAGATAGCAAGTAATAGTACCACTTGATACTGCTCTAGTGAGGCCACACTTGGAATATTGTGCCTTGTTCCGGTCACCACAACACAAAAAGGGTGCTGAAACCCTAGAAAGTGTGCAGAGAAGAGCAACAAAGATAATTAGAAGTCTGGAAGCTAACAGAATCAGGTCTCGCCGCCTAACGAAGAGAAGGCTTGGAGGAGACATGGTAGCCATCTTCCAATACTTAAGGGGCTGTCACAGAGAAGGGGCGGCGGTCAATTTATTCAATTTGTGTTTTTAACAAGAGATTGGACAACCATTTGTCTGAAGTAGTTGGTGCCTGAAGACCTCCAAAATCCCTTCCAACTGTCATTCTAATTCTATTCTCGAAAGAACCTGAGGACAAAAGCAATGAGTAAAAAGACAAAAAATGCAGCTCATTAGGTGGGAGATTCAACCTGGAAATAAGGGGGAATTTAACCAGAGAATACCAGAGTTGGAGGGGACCTTGGATGGTATATATGAAATAGAAAAGGTAATTGATTATATAAAGGATATGAGAAAATAGAAAATATGATAAAATAGAAGGGATTATATGGGGATATAAAGTATTTTATCATGAGAGTATCTTTGCGGATTAAAAACAGGGGAATGGGAATTTATTAAAATATATAGATAAATTTTGGCTAAGTGGAAAGAAAGAAAAAACATGATTATTATAGAATTATATATAAGAAAAGCGAAGATAAAATGAGAGATATTAAGAAGTTATTATTATTGGGATTTTTTGTGTTTGTATGTAGATAGATAGATCGATAGATCGATAGATCGATAGATAGATAGATAGATAGATAGATAGATAGATAGACAGACAGACAGACAGACAGATAGACATAGATATATAGATATAGATATACGCATTTTAAAATATACAGCTGATTATTTAATGGATAATAGAAATGTATAATGAGAGTTCTTCATTATGATTAAAGTAGGGGAATGAAAAATTATTAAATTACCTAGACTGAGGGGATATACCACGTCAATCCTAAATATATTAGTTTTATTTTATTTTTACTCTTTTTAGATTGTTTATTATATATCAGTCTAGAGAAAATTAAGGATAATAATGATGTGTAATATAAAATAAAACAGGTGGTAAGCTGAAAATGGAAATAATAGGGGATAAAGAACTGAAAATTTATGTGTGGATGAAATGATATTGAATTAATGAATTGAAATATGAAATGGACATTTATTTAAATATGAGTGGAATGGATAATGACATGAGGTGATATTATATAAGATAGATGGAAATGAAAGTATGACTATGTATAAATGTGGTAATCCAGTCTCTTTTTAAAAAACCACCAGTGATGGAGCCTTCACAACTTCTGGAGGAAAGCAGTTATGCTGATTTAATTGTTCCCGCGGTCAGGAAATTCCTCCCTTAATTCCAGGTTGCTTCTCTCCTTGGTTAGTTTCCATCCCTTGTTTCTCGTCCTGCCCTCAGGTGCTTTGGAAGATAAGTTGACCCCCTCTCTTCTTTGGGGCAGCCCCTCAAATATTGGAATATTCACTGTCAGAATATTGGAATATTCCTTGTCTGGAATATTCTTGACAGTGAGAACAATTAACCAATAGAGCAGCTTGCCTGGAGTTGTGGGTGATCCATCACTGAAGGTCTTCAAGAAAAGATGGGATAACCATTTGTGGTGCAAAGACTTCTCTATTGGTCAGGGGGTTGGACTAGAAGACCTTCAAGATCCCTTGCAGCCCCATGATTCCAAGTTAAATAAGACCATCGGTTTAATACTTCATTAGACAATCAGGCTTAAGGAAATCTCTCAAATGTTGCTTCCCCTAAATGTATTCTCTATAATACATACAGTATTTCCTTGGTTTTTGCAACATTAAGATCAAAAAATATTCTTTGTTGCATCCTACATTCTTGCAATCGACATTTCTTATTCACTGACATTAATTTGGGTTTTCAATCATATCCTTTCCCCATAAAAGTACTCATACGTTCAGTTAATCAATATTACCACAAACATTCCTTGTATATTCACCATCCATAAATATATTACACACCCACTCCATATAACACATTTATATTTTAATATTTTGCTGGTACACAATCAGCACCTGCTGCCTACTATTTTTCATCATCTTCACAGCATTTATTAATTCTTTTTATATTTATATTTGTTTCCTTAGGCAGAATATTTATAACTTTCATTTTCATTCTTTTCTTCCCTACTTCAATATCCTTCCAATGCAAACCTTTAATATATTCCTTCACTCCATATTCACCCCAGATCATATCGTGTATTCTTAATTTTGAGTCCATTCCTGCCTTCATGTTCTCACCTTCTTAAAGACATTTATTTCCCTCAAAAACATCCTGCATTCCCTCAGCTTCTTTTAATCCTCCCTGCTCTCTGCAATTCTCTTTTCTCTATGCATATTACACATCTTCCTTTTAATCTTGTTTTTTCTTATTACTGCAGCAAACTTCACTCACGTGCATTTTTTTTTATCTGCAGCCTTTTGTGTCTCCGTTCCACCATGTATTTTTTTTTTCATTTTCTTCATTAAAAACTTTTCCCTGGCAGTCTAACACAATTATTTTCACCCCACCTTCCACACCCCTTTTCCATTCATGCAGGGGAAGATTCATCTATCTTCTCGTTCTTTTTCTGAATATGATTCATACTTTCCCTCCCTGCTATTATTTTACTTTCAATCTAGTTTCTTTCTCTTCATCTCCCAGGTCTGCTTCTTTTTTCAAGACTACTCTTGACACTGCCAAAATATACCGTAAATCTATGGAGATTCTCAGTTGTCCAGGTCATGATTGTCTCAAAAGTGCTTTTTCAAGAGGCCACTGGGCTTTCTTTTTCCTTGAAGAGGTTTTGCTCCTCATCCCAGAAGTTTCTTCAGTTCTGATTAACAGTTCAATTCTTCAGTCAGAAATGAAGAAGCTTCTGGGATGAGAAGTGAAACTTCTTCAAGGAAAAACGAAGAAAAGTCCAGCTTTGGGGCTACCAGAATATAGTTTATCCCAAATTCAAACCCTCTGCTGACTTTGCATCCTTCACTAATTATCTCTCTCTCTCTTTCACATTAAACAAATCAGTCAAGATTTTTGATTCTTTCCTTTTCTATCTGCAGCGATGAACTGACTTTTGCCTAAAAGACGTACTCAGAAGAGCCAATTCTCATTCTCTCCAAGTGTCTCCACTCCATTTTCTGTATTCTCGTCTCATCCGCAGCCATCCGTTCACATCATTTAAAGGAATCATCTTCCCCCTAAATTGTATTCATTCGACATACGGCTCAATTTCCCTCCCAAAGTCATTTCTAAGTTCTTCCACAATTTAAGTTCGCTGAAGCGTAACGTGCAACTATCCCCAAGCTTCGCATCCCTACCCACGACAATCTTGATGACACCAAATGACACTTTCTAACGTATATTTCATCCTTTTCGTTTGCGAATTAAAATGGTTCTTTCCCTTCTCTCTGCCTACGTTCACCAACTCTGCTCCACAAAATCAGCTATCTGTGTAGCGCAATCTCCTTATTTAAGGGCAAAACTAAAATGCAGCATGTTCGTTAAAATTGCCAGACGCAGAAATTCAAGGCAAACTTTTAAAATATATATTAAAAAACCCTCCCTCCAAACTTTGTGGCTTATTACAATAGAAAGAGTGGGAAAAAAAATAACTGCCCTGAGGAAAGCTCTTGTGCTATTGTTTAAATAAAAGGCAGAAGATAAAATTTGACAGTTTTACTGTTTGCAAATGCAGAAAGCAAAACAGGGAAGAATTCTAATGCACTTCTACACAAAGATAAAGAAGAAAGAAAAGTTTTTAGAGTCTCTTTTATTAAAGGTTTGACATAATGGTTTTCACAAATCCAGCAATGAATATGCTTTATATATCCTGTTTGAAGGATCATTAAATTGTTTGCTTAGCGTATAGTTATTATTCTAAAGCCCAATTATTCACTTTTGATCATTTTATTTTTATAAACAGGTGTAGTCACCTAATCGTTCTCTTTTCAAAGCTTATTTGTGGATTATAATATATACTGTAGTAGATTAAATGTGTTACTTTGGAAACCATTTTGGATTTTTTTGCTTGAGAAAGATTAAAAATGAAGTTTCGTTTTTAGGACTGGATGATTAGATCTGTTCTTATAGAAATATTGTGTATTTTCATTTTTGCAATTAGGCATGTATATTGCATTTTTTAATGTTTAAGTTTAAAGTCAGAGTAAGAAGGCATTTTGTTATATAACTCTAATGCTATTATATTTTTGACATTTAGGTTTAAACTTAGAGTATGAAGTCATTTTGTTATATAATTCTAATGCCACTTTGATTACCGAATATTTTATATACAACTTTTTAATGCCTTTAATTCAGAGTAAGAGATTATTTCTAATACACACACACACACACACATATTGAATTCTGTCTCCCTCTGAAACTTAATAAAGGTGAGTATTACCATACAGTACACAGAGACATATATCTCTGTGTGATATTAATATAGTCACCTAACATTCTTTCATAACTCCTATATGTTCTCTGAAAATGTTATGCAAACAGTAACCAACTAAGCCATAATTTATATTCCCAAAGTAGAAACCAACATGTCCCAAATATGCTTTTTCAGGAGGCAGCTGGACTTTTCTTGTTTCTTCTTTTGAAGACGTTTCGCTTCTCATCCCAGAAGCTTCTTCAGCTCTGACTGGATGGTGAGGAAGGGAAGGATTTATATTCCTTGCAGACAGCTGGTCATTTGCATTTTGCATTCCCCACCATCCAGTCAGAGCTGAAGAAGCTTCTTGGATCAGAAGCGAAACGTCTTCAAAAGAAGAAACAAGAAAGTCCAGTTGCCTCCTGAAAAAGCATATTTGAGTCAACCATGGCTTGGAGGACTGAGAATCTCTACAGACTTTTAGAAACCAACAATTTATTTAGAATATTATCAACAATCCAGGCAGGATCCCATCCAGTGATACCTTGAGAAGGAAGATTACAAAACTCAAAAGGTTCTTACTTTAAACAGCTGCTCTAACTGGTTCTAACTGGTTGACTTCTTGGTTGGCTAAGACCAAGCATGTTATCGGTACCGGAGAATGGTTCATTTTCTGGCTGCTCTGTGTAGCAACCTCACATCTGATGTGTCCTTTCAGGCGAAGTGGTGGAGGAAGAGGAGAGGAAGAAGATAACAGAGATAGAGATGATAGATAGATAGATAGATAGATAGATAGATAGATAGATAGATAGAT